CGCGGCGACGAGGAGGAGTTCTACGAGATCCGCACCGAGTGGTCGGACCGCAACGTGCTCTACCTGCACCGCAGCTACTCCGACCTGGGCCGCCTCTTCAAGCGCCTCCTGGACTCCTTCCCCGAGGACCGCCCCGAGCTCTCCCGCTCCCCCTTGCTCCAAGGTTTGAGCAGCTCCCGGCGGCCGAGACCCGGCTTGATTCTTGTTTTATTTCTTCATTTATTTATTTGCCTGAGTGTCTTGGGAGCTCCTCCCGGCGCCTTCCTATTTATTTATTTATTACTATTTTTAATAAATACGGAGCGGACGTGATGCCTCTGGGCAGCGGGGGGGCGAGCTCCCGTAGGGAGGTGAAGTCTCGGGTCCAAAGTGGCCCAGACCCCCCCCTTTGCCGCCCCTCCGGGTGTCCCTGGCTGCTCTGGGGGGTGTTGGGTCACAGGCTGCGTTTTGGGGGATCAAAAGAGTCCCCGCTGTCACCTCTCCCTCTCCTGTCATTCCCCAGGGATATGTGCAGGGGGGATTCAGTGGCAGGAGTAGGGCCGCGGCTGAAAAATCTCTGCACGTTGGTATGTTGTTTGCCACAAGGAGGAGAAAAAAAATAAAAAATAGAGCTGCAGCGCTTGCCAGTGGATGGAGCAACTCAGGGAGCTAAAATAATTCCTCACATAACTTTCTTTCAAGCAGGGAATTGCAGCAGCAGTTATAGTCATATTCCTCTTCTCTGTCAGCTTCTGAAGTGGATTAACAAAAATCAGGGCATGTCACCCATACTCAGGCCCACCATGCAGAAGCAGAGTGTACCTTCTAGTATTTCTAGTATTTTGCTTTAAATTTGTTCGGTGTTTTGGGGCTTTTTTTTTTAGATTCATTTTATGTGTTTTGTTCTAAAATATTTCAAGCCGGTAAGGTGGTGTGGGCCATCTGCTATCTAAAAAGTGATGAGTGTTTATCATTTGCAGTCTCCTCACATATCTGACTAACCCCATAAATGATGGAATTAAATGGGAGCAGGGAGAAGCTGGTTTGTTGTGTACATTTTTCTAGGAGAGAAGGGGGAAGTTCTCGGGTGATCTCAGTTTCTCTTTAAACCTCGTAAGCAAAAGGACTGCATTTTGAAATGCTAGGGACTGATTTGCACCCCTTACACTGATGTAGATCTGCCAGATTTACTTCCGAGTCCCCCTTTCGTGGAAGCAGACTCCGTGCCTTGGAGTGGAAGGCGGCATTGAGGGGGTGTCTCCCGGGTTCACTTGCCAAGTTTGGCTCTTGACAGGAATTTAAAGGGCGATGTGTCATGTGGGCTCTGTCACTCGCTAGCCTCTAGCAGGGTCTCCTTTTTTATCTGCTTTAAACACGGTCATACGTTTTCCTCTCCTTATCTTGCTTCAGCTGCGCTCACAGGAGCGAGCGTCCTTTCCCCCGCTGGTCATGGAAAACGCCTCGTGTGGGTCGCCCTGGCTCATGCTCCTTCCTCGGATGTGGCATCCCCGCTCAGCTGACGCGTCGCGAATCCTGCTGGCGCTGGCGAGGCCCGAGTGCCCTCTGCAGACAGCAGCCGCGCAGCGCTGCAGGGGCTGCGGCGCGGGGAGCAGCTTGGGGAGCTGCAGGCGCAAGGGGGACTCACCCCGTGGGCGCAGCGGGAGCTGGGGGGCCTCTCTGCGGAGCCGCCGCTGCCGTCCCCGCGGCCTGCGCGGCAGCAAGCGCCGGGGCCGCCTCCGCGGGACCCCCGCCATGAGGCTGCTGAGAGCGCGTCTAAAATAGGGGGAAGGTTTATTATGCCTTGCGTGTGCCCAACGTGAACACCTGGGCTTGCTTCTCGGCAATGCCGAGTGGCACTAAGTTCAAAGCAGCACTGACTTAAAGGCTACATGGCCTTTGCTTTAGAGGGTGTCTGGTGGGTCCAGATCAGCAGGGCACAGCTGCCAGGATTGCTGAAATTTGCCTTCCCAGAGCACAGGTAATAGGCAGAGCTTGAAAACAGGGGCTTAAATGCTGTCTTTTGGGCTTTTTTGAGTTGGAGGTTTGTGCTGGGTCTGGCCGGAGACGGACTCTGCTCAGTAACCTGGTCCTTTGGCCTGGCCCCCTGGCACCCACTGGCTCCCTCACCACTGCCTCAGGCAAAGGAGGCCCTGGCTTCCCACAGCCCTTCGTGCTCCTTGGAGCCGCCAGCCAGTGCCCTCCCTTCCCGGCCTCGAGTGTGATGCAGCTTTGGCAAAATATTCAACTGCTTCCATGTATCTCTGAGGCTCTGTTTGCGCAGATGGAGCCGGGTGGGATTACATTCGTTTGCACTGGAATACTGATAGCTCTGCTTGACAGACCCAGGTAACATGCGCTATTCGTGCAGGAACAGCTGGAAACACTAAGTGTCCTCAGCCTGCTCGGCTCGATTCCTGCATAAAACCTTGAGCCAGTAACCTTCCCTTATCCGTATCTCCAGGAATAGACATACCGACTTCAGTAGAATCTGAAATGAGCAAAGCATCAGCCCAAGATTTGAGAAATTGAAAGCTAATGTGAGGAGATCATGATCTATTCAGCTTGGGTAGGAGGTGGGGGTTAACCTTGCGGCAGAGATGGAATAAAAGACAGGAGTAGTTTTTTAGCAATCGCAGTGCGATTCACAATTTCAGTAATACTCTGTTTAAAATTAAGCTGCTCTAAAGAAAATTACTTTGTAGGGATGGGACATGGATGTGCTTCTCTGCATAGAGAGTATTTCATCATACCAGCATTTTAAGATGACTGGCTGCAGCCTTATAGTAGATACATAAAAAATCTCATCTAACCAAGTGACTCCTAAGCAAATCTTTGGCTGTAAGTAGGGAATGCAGGCAGCTTGTCCTATCTTTAGAAAACTTTGGAGCAAGTATGGTTTCTTAATGTTCTTTTTTAGAGCAGAGGTCCTGCTTTCCACACTATGGCTCAATGTATTTAGCCCGACAAAAACATCTGACAAACTCGGACTCAGAAATATACATATATGTGTGATGTGCGTTTGTGTGTTTATCTCAGGCTTTCCAAAAGTCGCTGAATATTAGCTGTGCCTTTTATCTGGAGGAAGTGGTAAAACACTGCAAACGAAATTTGCATTGCATTCCTACAGATTTGCTTAAGTAGCACTGAAGGAAGTAGAATTTTCTTACAGCTTAGTCAAACCATAGTATGTAACATTCAAGGGATATGTTTGAGGAAGGAAAACTTGAGCTATTTGTTGTTATTAAGTTCTTAAGATGAACCTTTTAATAAGTCAGCAATATTAGGAGCAGTTGGTTGTTGGTTTCAGCAGATTGTGGCTTTCACCCAACCTGCCCTTGTCTTGGATAGGCAGTGACAGCATATGGCAAAGGGCATCTTGTACATCTGGAGTGCGCCATGATGCTGAGGCCCAAGGACGTTCAGCAACACAAAGTAACTTACTAGAAAGCTGGTAAACAAGGTTAGATATATGCATACCTGCAGGGTGATTACATATGATTCACGGTGGTGTTACAGTAACTCGCTGATACTTAATTTGTGTCAGAAATGTGCCCATCCCTTGGCCTAGGCAAATGCACAAGACAGGATCGCAGAAAAGCACAGGCTGGTTCACTATTAGCAGAGCTAGAACACCAGCTAATTTTTGCTAATTTGTCTGTTTTGCCTGCAGCTTCCAAATGAATGACTTGTGTAGTTAAATACCTCTTTGTGAGAAAGGCAGCGCGATGGACCCAGGAGCTGACTTAAATTTGGTGATTTAGAAATAGTTGCAATAGTCCTGGTAGATACTAGAAATGAAATATAAACCTGGTAAAGTTATCAGGTTTACTTATGCTGTTAAATACTGTTTGTAAGGCCTTCTGGTTAAGATTTATCCTAGAACTCTGTCCAATCCATACAGCCAAATGCCGCCTCTTACTTCAGTGGCCAGGACCAGGCCCTTACATGCTGAACAAGGAAGCCAGAAGAGCTCACTAGAACCCTTCCAAGTTTTCCCTTTAAAGGTGGAAGGGTGTTTTCTGGCCGTAGTTGTCTGCTAGGATTTTGTTATCTGATGCTACTGTTATATTATTGCCTTTTGGAAGCTGAGATACTCTTCCAGTGTTGTGCCTGCGTGTAGTACCTCATCCCGCTCAGATACTCTGAGCTGTCAAACCAAAATTCTGCTTCAGTCCTACAGGGTTATTTTACTAGGTGACCTCGTTTTCCAAATGGCTCCCTCCCTCTGCCTTCCTTATTTCTATCCCTCCTCTGACTCACTCTGCTCTGTGTTTTATTTTTCTCACTCTGCTCTTTGTAATTTTTATCTCTGTTTGTTGCTCCATTTTTTCCCTGAATTTCTTGCTGCTCCCCTTCTTTGTCTTCAGGTTTCTCTCCAAGCCTGTTGGAATCCCTGATTATCCGTGGCTCATGAGAGCTCCTCTCTTATCGTCTGCTGTACTGCTTCTCAGCCTCTTTCAGCCCATACAGTGGCAGTGGAAATTTTTCTGTAGAAACTTTGCATCAGTAGCTTACCTCATGGCACAGAGGAATTCCCTCTTCACCTGCTGCAGACCCTGAGCAGTCCTTCACAGAGGTGTGATGAACTCTGGCTCTGTGTGTTGTGTTTGCCCTCCAGCTTGGTTGCCTTATGTGGGAAGCAGATGAGCTGTTTTGTGTGCACCAACCTGGAAGCACATGGGCAGCTCTTCCTGGGCTGCAGCTTGAAGGCCTTGCAGGAAGCAGAATGCAGTTCATGAAGAAAAGATTCAACCCAAGAACGCTGTGGGTTTTTTGTTTTGTTTTGTTTTGCCTTTTTTTCTGCACAGTTTGCTGTAAATGTTGTATTCATAACTTATTATAGATGCTGCATTATACTGTTGTTGTTTACGAGACCATCTGGGAGTTGGGTTTATGAGCAGAGGGAGCTCCACAGAAGCAACGCAGTGGTTTCCACAGACAGCAGCTGTTCCAGGGCTGTGACAATAGGATCAATGCATGACATCTATTGTGCTGCTTGCATAGCTGCCACTGTCAACACTTCATTAGTGGAGCCTGCTCAGAGCTTCTGTCTGGCGGACAAAGGATGCAGCACTTAGTTATCAGACTCTACCAGTACTGTATGACTGAAGTTTGGTGCCTCTGTTTCTTTTTTTGTTGTTGTTGTTTGTTTTAATTTTTTTGGTTGAGTTTCTTAGTGCATCT